TGAAAGAATATACGGGACACACGAACTCCATTTATAGCCTATGTTTCAATCACAACAATACTCTACTCAGTTCTTGCGGTGCGGATCAGACGCTGAGACTCTGGAATCTTAAGAATATAATGACTCCGTTCGCTAATAAACCACTTGTGGTCACCGATACAGACGCCAACCAAAACACGTAAATATTAATTGATTAGAAAATGTTTGAATCCTTTAAAACGTGTCTTTGTTTTGTTCTTCATTTTTATAGCTTTCGCATAGATTCGGATCAATTCATGTCATATCAGATGAACTCAAATGTGATTCATTCCCAGTTTTTGCCACGAAATCTGTTGCTAACGATCGGCAAAAAGAGTTAACTTAATTCTCATTAACACATATTTCGACATCAATTTAATCGTTAAATTCGTTTTCTATTAATTTATTTTTAAAATTAAAATACATTTTTATAATAAAAAACAACAGAAAAATAAATTCCTATCCAATTGTAAATTAATTGTTGACACATTTGGTTGTGTTGTTGTTGTTATCGATTTAAAACCAATTGATTTAGAGTCCCAACCATTATCTCCTACTGTTTCGCGCTTTTTGTAGTTTCAGTACTTTCCTCATGAGTGGTGCGACCTTTGGTTCTGGTATTGGTTTTTTGGAGATAATTTGTTATCAAATATTTGCTATTAAACAATAAAATCGCACCATTATTTCAATGCACTTACTTTCTGGAACTATTTTAACGTATTGTGAAGAATAACCTCCGGAACCGCCGCCACCACCACCTGAAGAGCCGTACGATTGACTGATACCCGAGCGCTCCTGTTTGCGGAGTATTTCGCGCGGAGTCTTGACATTCTCCGAGAATTGTGTTTGTCTTACTATATGATCACAACAATGGGTACGTATTGTTATACAACTATTTACTATACAAATCAAAGATTGTGTGACAAACCGGGCAATGCTTTCTGCTGTTTATTAGAGATAAATTTAGTGATGTTCTTAAGCCGGTTATCCCTTTCTTGGCCGCACCTTAAGTACAATTCGCGCCAACACTCGTCCTCTTC